CAGAAATGAAACAGCAGGGGATTTCCTGGTGGTCCAGTGGTTACAACTGTGGGTTACTACAGAGGGTGCAGGTTCCATTGCTGGGGGTGTGAGTTCGATCCTCAGTCGGAGAACTCAGATCCCACATGCTGTAACATGTGGTGTGAGTGGTGTTAGTCGCTCAGTTGTGTCTGACTCTTTGTGACCCCACAGACTGTAGCCCTCCAGGCTCCTCTGTCCGTGCGATTCTCCAGGAAAGAATACAGTGGGTTGCCATTCCCTTCTCCAGGGGATCTTTCAGACCCAGAGATCGAACCTGGGTCTCCCCACCCCTCCCCCAAAATAGCAGCCTGTTTATCACGACAAACTGATAGACAAATATATTAAGAAATGGAAAAACCAAATATCTTTTTCTTTATGGATAGTAAGTGCTATATATAGGTTGGTTTTTTTTCCCTGATTAAAAAAAAGGTTCATATTTAACTGCATGGATGTTTGAAGAGTGGGTAGAAGTGTTTTAATCAGCTAGGCTGATTAAATGCCCCCCCCCCCACCCCCCTTTATCAGGATGGCTTTGTCGGGTTACTCAGGCCACTGGCTTTCTGATGAGCACTTCTCTACCCTGGTCTGAGTTGAGATGCTGCAGCCAGATTTCTCCTTTGCGCTCTGTCAACAGGGGTACTAGAGGGGGACTGGGCGCTGGAGGAAGGGGCAGGGTTGCGTCTTCCTGTTTGCGTCTGTTCCTGTGAGTGTTGCCCAAACAATGTGTTTCAACTGGGGCAGGGGCCGTGGTTCCAGTGGCTGCACTTGGTTCCAGGGTGCAGTTTTTCCTGCTCCTGGTAACAGTCTTGTTGAGGCAGTCTGAGGCTGGAAACGAATCGCCAAACACAGAGCATTTCAGAGGGGAGTGAGTTTATTAAGAACAAAGAGCAGAGATAATGTGGGCACTGCAAGCGCAGCGGGCCGACCTCCTGACAGACAGGGGAGAGCCGACCATTTTCCTTGGTTAGTAGACAGTTTTTATAGCCTCAAGACAAAGAAAATTCCTGCTGGAAGGATGGCATTAGGTGGCTCCTTAGGGCCAAGTCGGACACGACGGAAGTGACTGAACACGCATGCCCATAGGGTGCTCTAGGGTAACTAGCCAGGTGGACGTTTTTGCCTAATTTGGGGTCAGGAAGCCTGTTGGTGATGATCAGGGGGGCTTTTGGCAACGGTTACAAAGGGGCTCAGTCAGCTTCAGAGGTGACCTTGCTTCTGGGCTCCACTTCTGTGACCTTGGTACAAGGTTTCACACCTGTGGCCTTGGGGTGTGTGTGAGTGCTAAGTCACTTCAGTCATGTCCGACTCTTTGTGACTGTATGGACTATAGTCTGCCAGGCTCCTCGGTCCAAGGGATTCTCCAGGCAAGAATGTTGGAGTAGGTTGCCGTGCCCTCCTTCAGGGGACCTTCCCAACCCAGGGATTGAACTTGAGTCTCCAGCATCTCCTGCATTGCAGGCAGATTCTTTACCATCTGAGCCACCAGAGGAAGGCCTTGAGGGCAGGACTCAACAAATCTCATTGGGTCTCTTCAGAAACATTAGCACCAGAATTCAGAGATCTGGGTCCTAGACCCACAAGGCCCTCCTTTGAGCCAAAAAGAAGATATACACATTCTCACTGTTAAAAGATGTCACACATATATTCTAGCTAGGTTAGAACAGATATGTGATTAACCAATCCACATTAAGAAAGAAACTGTTACCATATCCCATTGTGAATATTGGAACCTATTGACATGGGCCAGATACTTACTTACTAAGTAGAAAAAGAACCCAACCAGAATAATATTTACAGTCTTTCATAATAGTACTGAAAATAATGTTTGAAGAATAAAACCAAAAAGACTCATGGTACCTTAAAAATAAACCCTCCTGGTGCTGGGGCCTCTGAAGGAGGATGTGTGAGAATGGAACTTGGAACTGAACCTTAATAAAATGAAAAGAAATCCTAGGTCACAAGTCCCAGGATTATTTAATGAGAAGCCGTAAGAGATAGTAGCTTTCTGGGAGAAGTAGTTTGAGAATTTAAAATCCTGGCTGCAGGAAAATTAGGACTCCACACTGCAGGGGGCCCAGGTCTCATCCCTGGTCAGGGAAATAAGATCTTGCAAGCCGTACGATGCCATTCCCCCCATGGCCTCCCAAAAAAAGTAAGAAAGAAAAAATAATGGATGAGTCACTGAACTCTTCAGAAAAACAGTGGGTTAAAAAATGAGAGAATACTTTATGTTCTGTTTACTTCAAGTTCACAAAGCAATCAGACAGGTAAAGACTTCTCTCATTTAAATGCACTCAGGTGCCGCCTCTAGTTAGGACAGCATTAAGGAGTCATCACTTTCCTGTGATACTCAAGTTTAGTTAGAAATCCTTCTCGGGCTATTTAATGAAAAGTTCCCAAAAGAGAAACAGGAATGAGAACCAGAGGACAGATACAAAACCAGCAATAAGATAGTAAAGTGCTAACCCATCAATATTTACCTTAGCTGTAAATCTTCGTAACACCCTTAGGAAAGATAGAGAGTGACAGAGTGGATAAAACACTACAATCCAGGTAGATAGTGCTTATAAGAATCTCGCTTCAAAGACAACGACTAGGTAAGTTGAAGGAAAAAGGATGGAACAAGATATAGAAACAGGAATTTTTTAAAAAGCTAAAGTGGCTACATTAACAGGGCTTCTCTGGTGGTTCAGGCAGTAAAGAATCTGTCAGTGGAGGAGACCTGGGTTTGATCCCTGGGTTGGGAAGATCCCCTGGAGAAGGCAGTGGCTACCTACCCCAGTATTCTCGCCTGGAGAATTCCATGGACAGAGGAGCCTGGCTATATCAATATCTGATTAGGCTTCAGAGCAAATAAAAGAGCTATAGACAAAGAGAGCCATTCTATATGATAAAAGCATCAGTCAACCCGGAAGACTTAATGATCTTGTAAGAATATACAGCTAATAGTAGAGCCTCAAAGGACATGAAGCCAAAACTAAAAAAAAAACAAACAAAAGCAAAAACAGGTTTCTCTTAATCTTCCAGGAGTTTGACCCTGACCCCTGAAAGCAGGCAAAGACACAAAAAATTGGCATGTGTTGTAGTATTCATTTAGGTCTGGAAGACACATCTTGTAAGAAGAGGGATCTGTTAAATTAACTGTGCAAATGTGACTCATCCTTGTAAAAATCAAACAGATGCCTCACTGAGTCAGAAAATTTCAAAACCTCTCTGTTTCCTTTCCCTCCCTGTGAGCCAGACAAAGAAAACAAATAGTGCTTCTGGCAGATTTCAATCCAAATGCAGTTGCAAGCCTGGCTTCTGATATCATTTATAGAACCAAGAATAGAAAAAACTTTTAGTAAAATCTTAACTACAATGATCTCTGCAGGGTGTAATAGTAGGATTTAAATTTCTTCATTATTGTCAATGTCTTAGAAGTTGCTGCATTCAACAGTTTTGATTTAAAATGTTGAAGTTAACCTTAGAGTTTGGTTTTTTTTTTTTTTTTTGCTTTTTAAATTTTCAGACATGATAGAACTTTTTTGCTGCTTTCACACTTGAATAGCAATCAGCTTTTGTATAAAATTCTAGAGGCAGAGTTTCTTTACACATCATCCCACTGTCTCTCAGTATTTGTTACTTGGTGGAAGAAATTCAAGTCCCACTCAGTTCAATCCTTTTGAAGGACTCAAGTTTTCTTTTTCTGTTTGTTTAGCAGCAGGAGATTTTATTTAAATTTAAAATCTCTCACCTGGAAACTGTCCAGTCTTGATTTTACTTCACGAATTTTTCCTTGCCAATGTTAAAAATTCTCTCAACTTCCAATTTCAGATATCTTTTCAGACCTGGAGAGTAGGTTTTTTGTTTCTAATTTTTATGAAAGGTAGTTGATATACAATGTTGTGTTAGTTTCTTATATACAGTGAAGTGATCCATGATCCAGTGTATATATAATTTTTCAGATATGTATATATATTTTTTCAGATTCTTTTCTGTTACAGTTTATTACAAAATACTGAATGTAGTTCCCTATACTATACAGTAAGACCTTTTTTTTTTTTAATCTGTTTTATATATAGTAGCTTGTATCTACCAACCCCAAACTCCTAATTTATGCCTCCCTCCCATCTTTTCCCCTTTGGTGACCATAAGTTTGTTTTCTATGTCTGTAAGTCTATTTTTTGTTTTGTAAGTAAGTTCATTTGTATCATATTTTAGATTCCACTTGTAAGTGAGATCATATGGTATTTGTCTTTGTCTGACTACTTCAGTTAGTGTGATAATCTCTAGGTCCATTCCAGTTGCTGCAAATAGCATTATTTCATTCTTTATTATGGCTGAATAATATTCCTATGTATTTGCATATATACCACATCTTCTTTATCCATTCATCTGTTCGTGAACATTTAGGTTATTTCCATATTTGGGGCATTGTAATTAGTGCTGCTCTGAACACTGTGGTGCTTGTATCTTGGAAAGTGTTTTTATTTAATATACAATTTTAACCTCATTTATGATCCACTGTCCCACGTTAATCTTCAAGGACATTTCTTATTTGTAGATGATTTGTAAATTGGATTTCTATGCCTTGCCCTCCAGTATATTTCTGAGCTCTTTAAAGTGTCCTATTCATTTTACATTTGGGATTATTTCTGAAGTGAATCTTTTCTGTTATTGACTTTTCACACTGTCACATCTGCCTTTCAGTGCTTCTAGTAAGGAACCTTCTGGATTTCTTTCTTCTCTTCTCACTGTCTGGTACTATATCATCCTGTGTCTTTTCTGGTCTATGAATGAGCCCAGTCTTTGGATTCCTATGTTGTCCTTGATGTCTGGAGCCAAGATAACCAGTGATGAAACACAGCATCAGACTCAGCACCTCCCAGCAATGGCAAAACATCCTGTTGTGCAACTTTCTGGAGCCTCTGGGGCAGAGTGTCCCCCTGTAGCTGTGCCAGGAGCCACAGAGCAGTTGGAGTCAGTGCACATGAAGGATGAGGCAGGCCAGGCTCTGGAGTCTGCTCTGGATGCTCTTCATCCCAGGTAAGATGGGGAGGAGGCATGAGCAGGTGAGCTCTTTGCCCAGGACCTGGGGTTGGGGCCAAGCCCTCCACAAGAAAGGTCTCCCTTTTCCTCTGAAGCTCCGGGGAATGTGGCCACCCAAGACAGAACCATCCCATAGATAAGCCACACTGGGTTTCTCCACCCAAACTTAAAACAATCAGAACACACAGGGCCTGAGGACAGAACTAAAGGGGGTGGGTTAGGGAAACAACAAGATGCCTGTGCCTTTTGATGTTGTCAGGGACATGCAAAACCCTGAGTGGGAAACTAATGGTAGAGAAAAATCTCACCTTGACATGATCTAAGGGAATTTTGGTTTTGAGTTTGAATTTTTTTACCCTTTATATTCCATGATGGTGATTTTGGTGTTGAAAGAAGTGTTAGTCACTCAGTCGTGTCCAAATCTTTGTGACCCCATGTCTATCCATGGAATTCTCTAGGCAAGAATACTGGAGTGGGTTGCCATTTCCATTTCCAGGGGATCTTCCCCACCCAGGGATCGAACCTGGGTCTCTCGCATTGCAGGCAGACTTTTTACCAACTGAGCCGCCAGGGAAGCCTAAACCCCAAAGACATAGTCCACTTAATAAATATCTCCCAGTGGCCAAGCATGGGCCAGGAAACCTGCTATTGCTGAGGACACAGAAGTGCACAGAAGAAAAGTGCCCATTTTCACAGAGGCCGTGATCTGAGGCTCTGCTGCTCAGGCTCTGCAGGGTTGCCAGGGCCCTTCTCTTCTCTTCTGGCCCAGCTCACAGCTTCATTAAAAGTGGAAGCACTTGGAGCTTTCTTTGTTCCTGCTCCCAGTCCTCATGAATACATTGAGAAAACAAGCAGAGAAGGGGAGCATATCAACAAGGAGTTAAAAGAAAGGTTTGCTTTGGAAAGACAGAAAAGATTCCAGGGAGAGGATGCTTTCCGGGGACTCAGTGCCTTGAGCAAAGTCCTGGACAATCACCTGGTAGAGCCTGCACACCAGGGTTACTCCGAGATTTCTTGGAGCTGGGGTGATGATCCAGATGGGTACATGGGAGTGTGGGTCCCATGGCCAGTGCATTTCCGTGTGTCTTTTCTTTAAAAAAACCAAAAAAACCTGCTTTCATTTTTGCAGTGGAGATTGTGTTTATTGGTTTATTTTTAGCTTTATTCATTATTTGCCCGCACCGGGTCTTCGTTGCGGTGCATGGGCTTTCTCTAGTTGGGGTGAGTGGGGGCTGCTCTCCGGTTGCGGTGCATGGGCTTCTCATTTCGGTGGCTTCTCTTGCTGCAGCTCATGGGTTCTGGGGCACAGGTTCAGTAGTTGCGGTGCGTAGGCGTAGTTGCCCCTTGGCATGTGGTATCTCCCTGAAGCAGGGAGGGAACCTGTGTCCCTGCATTGGCAGACTGATTCCCAACCCCACTGGACCGCCAGGGAAGCCCCCCCTTGTGTCTTGTTCAGGTTTTTCCAAAGGAGAACTGGGAGAAGATGGAAGGAAGACTGAGAGGAAACCAATTGTTTTTTCCCACTGGGTCCTATCAGGGTAGACTAGGGTGTAACATAAAAGCTCTTTCTAGACCCTGTAGCCTGGGGAACAGAGTTGTTAGTCAGCTATTCTCACTTGGGTTGGCATTGGCTCTAATCCCAACCAGACTTCTACTCTGGGCAATCTAGCTCAGAGGTTTAGAGCTGATTCTAGAATCTTCCCTGGTGGCTCAGATGGTAGAGTCTGCCTGCAGTGCGGGAGACCCAGGTTCAATCCATGGGTCAGGAAGATCCCCTGGAGAAGGAAATGCCAATATTCTTGCCTGGAAAAATCCCATAGATGGAGGAGCCTGGCAGGCTACACCCCATGGGGTCACACTTACTGCTAAGCATTTAAGACACTCTGATTTAATCTTTATAACTTATAAGTTGATACTACTATTATTCCTAGTTTCGAGACTAGGGTCGCCAAGAGTCAGATACTTTTTAGAGTCTGACTATGAGGGTTTGAACACTGACTTCACACATTTCTCCTGTGGGACCTTGGGCAAAATCACACAATGTGTGTGTGTGTGCTCAGTCGAGTCCAGCTCTTTTTGACCCCATGCACTGTAGCCTGCCAGGCTCCTTTGTCCATGGGATTTTCCAGATAAGAATACAGGAGTGGGCTGCCATTCCCACGCCACTGGATCTTCCCAACCCAGGGATCAAACCCACGACTCTGCATCAGCAGGCAGATTCTTTACCACTAGGCCACCTGGGAAGCCCAAATCACATAACAACTTCTGGGTTACTAAATACACTTTCTGTGCCCCAATTTTCTTGTCTTGAAACTAGGAATAATAGCAGTATCAACTGATAAGTTATAAAGATTAAATGAGAGAGTGTCTTAAACACTTAGCAGTAAAAGGTATTTGTTATTCTTTTTTACATTAATAATATAAAGAATTCCTTTCTTGAAATGGTGCAGAAAGTGATGTACAGACTTCACTTCTGCATTGATTTCTTCTGTCTCCTTTCACAAGAGCCTGGCAGGTGTGTGAGCAATCCGTCTCCTGTAACTCCTACTGCCTTAATCCATCTGGGCAGTTATAACAAAATACCACAGACTGGGTGGCTTATAAACAACAGACATTTACTTCTCCCAGTTCTGGAGGCTGGAAATTCAAGGTCATGGTACCAGTATGGTTGGGTTCTGGGGAAGGTCTTCTTCTGAGTGGCAGACTGACTACCAATTTCCCACTGTGTCCTCATGAGGGGGAAAGGGCAAGGGAGCCCCCTGGAGCCTCATTAATAAAGGCACTAATCCTATTCCTGAGGGCAGAGCCCTTACGACCTAACTATCTCCACCTTGAAGTTTAAGATTTCAAAATATGAATTTTAGGAGGACACTAACATTTAGATGAATAAAAGCAGCAATGATTGTAGGTAGTGGTAGCCTGACCTTGGTAATGGTAGGTGGGTTGACCCACCACTATCCAGCCCATTATTTGGTTTCCTATGAGGAAGATATCTCAGGCCTGGATGGATAAACCGTAGTCCCTCAGTAAAGGGAGCCCTGCTGTGTCCAGTTGACAACACAGACCTGGATCTTCTTCAACTCTACTTGGCCCTCCCATCAGCAAGGATCCCTTGGACCAGACCAGAAACTCATGCCAATTCTAGGCTCAACATTCAAGAGTGTGATTGAAACTTTTGTCCCTGTAATCCAAGGGTTCTCAGCCTTGGCACTATTGACATTATGGGTAGATTAATTTTTTTTTTCCGGGGGCTGGCCCGTACACTGGAGGATGTTTAACAACATCTCTGGCCTGTACCCATTAGATGCTTTTGGCACCTCCCTACTCCCAATGATGGGGGTTCCCTAGTAGCTCAGCTGGTAAAGAATGCATCTGCAATGAGGGACACTTGGGTTTGATCCCTGGGTTGGGAAGATCCCCTGGAGAAGGGAATGGCAACCCACTCTAGTATTCTTGCCTGGAGAATCCCATGGACAGAGGGACCTGGTGGGCTACAGTCCATGGGGTCTCAATGAGTTGGACATGACTGAGTGACTAAGCATGGCATAGTATAGCTCCCAATTATAACAACCAAAAATGTCTGCAGGCATTGCCCAATGTCCTCAGAGGGAAAATTGTCCCCAGTGGAGGACCACTGCTGTGACTCCTTGACATTCTGTAATATTTAGAACTCTTTTGGAAGCAAGCAACATCCTATAGACCAATCAACACAGTAAGAAAGAGCAGCAGTCTCAGAGAGATTCTGACTGGCCAACCTTAATCATGCGCCCACTTCTAGGCCAATCAGCATGGCCAGGGTGGTGAGATTCTTTGGCTTAGCCTGTGTCTCTGTGTCCATCCTGGAGAATATGGGCAGCCCCATCAGTAAAGGTACATAGGATGCGAAGGATGAGCACCCTGAGAGAGAGGTGCTCTACTCCCCAAGGAAGGGAGAGATGAGGACCACACAGCCAGACATCAGTGTCCACCATGTCCTTGAGATGGCTTTCTCGCCATTTTTCCAATAGTCTCTTGAACTGGTCTCTCTCCTCTGCCTTAGATGAAGTTCCTCTAGCTGTTCAGTGGAGTCATTTTCTGATAGTAACATCTCCTCACATCCACTTTGGACCCTGTCCCTGGTGGTCTAGTGGTTAGGATTCAGCAGTCTTACTCTTCACCCAGTACATCCTTCTCTATAATCGTTCCCTCCCGTCATGCCCCTGTCACTCATGGTCCTAGTATGTGTCCCACGCTCTGTCTCTATTCAGACAATTTCTTCCTCTCAAAAACAGTCATTTATGAAAGTTGATTTGCACAAATCATACACAGTCTAACTTTTGTGGTCAAAATCAAACAAACAAACAAACCAAACGACCCCCCCCCAAAAAAAAACTACTTGCAGTGATAAGATATGGGGTCTAATGCTAACTTGCAGGGAAAGCTGCATCTTCTCTGGAGACCTTGAGGATCTTGTCTAAAAATTCAGTGATTGAACAAGAAAGAAAGGTGGATCCTCTCTCTCTTTTTCTTTTTTTTTTCCCAAAGAGAAGGAAGCTGTTCCTCACAGAGCCTAACTCAAATTCTCTGCTTACAGAAATCCAAGTTGTCGCTGAAGTATTTGAGGAGAAATGTACTCTAGCAGAGGGGCAGACCTTGAAGGTGAGCTGTCCTACCAATACCAACATATATTCCAGAAGCCAGAAGGCTTGGCAGAGGCTGAAAGATAACGGGGAGGTCCAGACACTGGCAATCACAGAGGGGTCCAGTCAAGTCCAGGTGGGGAAGTACTTCCTAGAAGACATCCCCAGTGAAGGCATTTTGCAAGTCCGAGTGTTCAACCTTCAAGTGGAGGACTCAGGACTGTACCGATGTGTGATCTTGGGACCCAGCGACCCCATCATCCTGTTCTCCCCTGTCCGCCTGGTGGTGACCAAGGGTGAGTGACATGCGGGTGGGTGGTGGAGGGTGGGACAGCCGAATCGGGTCGGGTGGGACAGTGGTGGTAGCGCCACTAGGGCTGTGGCTCAGGATTTCTAGAAGCCTATGACCTCGCTCCTTGTTCTAGAAGCTCTTTGTTTCTCATTTGAGGTCCTTGAGAGACATCTGGTCCAACGGTAAGAAGGGATTGCATCTCATTCTTTGTATGGATTCCTCTTTGTGAGCAGAACCTAACATGCTGTGCTAGTGTAGGAAGTGGAATATGGTGAAAAGTGAGTGATGGACTTGGGACAATTTAGTCTCATGCTTCAGGTCTTCATGGAGAAGTCATTTCCTTGGGAAGCCTCTGTGAGTCACCCTCCCTTCCTAAGGATGCATCTGAGGGCCCTCTTGTGTGCAGTGCTTCCAAAGTAGTGCTCCTCAGACCTTAAGTGGGCACAAACCACCTGGGGGTATTATTTTAGCCACAGTATGTCTAGGATGGGACCTAGATTTTGCATTTCCAGCCTCTTCACAGACAGTGCTGATGCTGCTGGTCCATGGCTTCCGTTTGAGTAGTGAAGCACCAGGGCTCACTCTGAGCCCTCTTCATAGATAACCCCATCTCACTGGGTGAAGCAGTGGCCAGTTTCCTTAACTGTCCCCCCTATTCATCTTTGAGAACCTTGAGGAAATAATCTGTGCCTAATTTGACTCTATAGCTCTAGCAACTGATGAAGTGCCTGGCATGTTGTAGGGCCTCCACATGTTGACTGGATGAATTAAGGAAAGCAGATTAGAACGGGGGCAGATTCAAGTTCCTAACCCCTGTGGAGCCCATATCTAAGGAAGACAAGACATATCTGCAATATATTAATGAAAGATAACTTGCAAAGCAATATGCCACAGGTATGGGTGAGTGCAAGGCAGAGAGAATGGTATAAGATAATCAGGGAAGATAATTCTTGAAGAAGGGCACATATGGATTGGTGAAGAATAGCAGGCAGGTGCATTTCCAATAACATGAATAACCTGGAAATACCTTCCTTCTTCCTTATCTCCATCCCTCCTTCTTTCCTTTTCCCCATCTCTGACCCAAGCAATGGCACACTATTTCTTTATTAAAATTAAAAGCAAAAGGAAACCTTGGTTCATGAGTGGGCATGTTCATTTCCCCCAGTTTCATTTACGCTACCACACACCCTTCCGTCCATCCATCACCTGTCCAATCATCCAATGTGCTTTCTTGCAGGTTCTTTGGGACCCCCTGCCTCAGATGACTATCCTTGCCAGATCTCTGCTCAGAATCCCACCCTTCCTCCCATTACCACCAAGCTCCGTCCCAGGCCCAGGACTGTGACCAAACTCATCCCCACATCAACTAATAGCCTCTCCTCTTCTGGTTTCACAGTCATTCCCACAAATGTGACACATGTCACCAGGTATGGTTTCCAGTTCTCTGGGCCCTTGGATTGGACACCAAGTCCTTTGACTCCCAGTCCATGTGCTGAGAGGATGTGGGGAGTGAGGGATGGGGGAAGGTAGAGGGCAGGGTGGGTTTGAGTCATCTTGGTCCAGTGGACCTTCCCAGGGGTGGAAGGAGTGTGGTGGTGCTGGTGTGAGGGGGAGGCTGTTGGAGGCAATAACAAGGCTGCCATTCTCGCCACAGTTTCCCTCTGTGTTTGCTTCTTGCATGTCAGAGGGCTAAGGAGAGGGAAATAGCGTCTGTGCTGAATTCCAAGGGCTCAGCAAACCCCTAATGGTGTAGTGGGAAAAGAGACCCTGGATTCCAATGCCAGCCAGATCAACTGAAAGTGTAACTTCAGGCCACTCAGAAGCCTTCTCTGGCTTCAGTTTCCTTGTTTCTGTGGTTGGGGTTGGAGGGGGTAGCAGGGGAGGGTAGGAAAAAAACCAGAGCTGGAAGCCACAATCTAGCCCAACAGCTCTGAGCAAGTGATGCGTGTTAGGATATCCCAGAGCGTAAGCTTTTATTTGGCTTGCTTTATTTATTTATTAAAAAAATTTTTTTAATGCACCCTGCAGCATGTGGGATCTCAGATAGAACCAGTGTCCTCTCCACTGCAAGGCAGAGTCTTGATCACGGACCACTGGGGAAATCCCTGACTGGTTTTCAATACTGATGCACATAACATCTGCAGATCAAAAGAGTTAGAATTTCTGAAGGTGGGGCTGGTCTCAGTAATTTTTATAAGATCTTCAGGACTCTTAAAATGAGCAGGCAAAGCTAAGAACCATGACCTTTGCATGCACACCTTTTTATACAGTTTATTATTAAATGTTGATTCATCTTAGAGTGTGTTTATCACTAAATGTTGACTTAGCAGAGAAAGAAATAATCTTCCATATTCCTATCAATCTAATGTGTCTTTTTTTGTCCATCTTCTCTTCTAGTTTTTATTCATGCTTGGATATATTTTAATGTGGCATTAATTCTAATTATACACATTTTCACTATTTTTCTTCAGTGTTGCTCCCTAGTCTTTGTAGTCAGAATTTCAGCGTACTTTTCTATCAGTAGAAAGCTATAGCTCACATAATCCTTTGCCTGTTTTTAGATGTTGAAATTATTTTCATTTTTTGTAGTATTGATAACTCTGAGATGAACATATATTTGTAGATGTCCTTTTCTTCTTTTAAAAGAAGCCGAACATTTATACTGTTCTGTATGTGTCCTGGCATGCTCAGTCGTGTCCAACTCTTTGTGACCACATGGACTATAGCCTACAAGGCTCCTTTGTCCATGGAATTCTCCAGGCAAAAATACTATAGGGGGTTACCATTTCTTCCTCCAGGGAGTCTTCCTTACCCAGAGATTGAACCTGCATCTCCTGCACTGGCATGTGGATTTTTTATCACAGAGCTCCCTGGAAAGCCATTTTCCTCTGTACATACTGCCAATTTGTTTTCCAAAAGTTGGAAACAATTTGCCATGAGATCCAAAATGCGGAAGAGAAGCAAAGTCACTACAGGGCTCTGGTACTTAAAAAATATAGCTGTCAAAATAGATGTGATGCTGAAAGCTCAGATTCTGTGTATGCTGGTGCCAAATCAAATCTCAGAGACAGTTTTGGGTGAAGTAGAAAGGAGTAGCTTTGTTGCTTTGCTAGGCAAAGGGGGCCACTGTGGGCTAATGTTCTCAAACTATGTGTTGCAACTTGGGGAAGATAGTGACAAGCTTCGTAGTAATTGTTCAGAGAGGGTGTGATCAGCTCGTGAACATTCTTCTGATGGGCTGGTGATAACATAAGTAGGAGTCAGCATCCTCACCCTTCAGGTCCAACTGGTCTAGGGTCTACATGCTTGTGGGTGGCAGACCATTATTAATCTTTGTTAACTTCTACCACCTGGAGGGGGTTTCAATATCTGCAAAACAGCTCAAAGATATTGTCTGTATCCACTGGTGAGGAATCACAAGCTGGAATCAAGACTGCTAGGAGAAATATCAACAACCTCAGATATACAGATGATATCACTCTAATGACAGAAAGAGAAAGTAAAGAACCTCTTGATAGGGGTAAAGAGGAGAGTGGAAAAGCTGGCTTAAAACTCAACACTCGAACAAAAACAAACAAAAAAAACTCAACACTCGAAAAATTAAGATCATGGCTTCCAGTCCCATCAGTTGAAATGACAAATAGATGGGGAAAAAGTGGAAACAATGGCAGATTTTATTTTCTTGGGATCCAAAACCACTGCAAATAGTGACTGCAGTCACAAAATTAAAAGATGCTGGCTCCTTGGAAGAAAAGCTATGACTAACCTAGACAGCATATTAAAAAGCAGAGACATCACTTTGCTGACAAAGGTCTGTTTAGTCAAAGCTGTGGTTTTTCCAGCAGTCATGTATGGATGTGAGAGTTGAACCATACAGAAAGCTGAGCACCAAAGAATTGATGCTTTTGAACTGTGGTGTTGGAGAAGACTCTTGAGAGTCACTTGGACTGCAAGGAGATCAAACCAGTCCATTCTATAAGAAATTAACCCTGAGTATTCGTTAGAAGGACTGATGCTGAAGCTGAAGCTCCAGTACTTTGGCTACTTGATGCAAAAAGCTGACTCATTGGAAAAGACCATGATTCTGGGAAAGACTGAGGACAGGATGAAGGGGATGACAGAGAATGAGATGTTTGGGTGGCATCATTGACTCAATGGACATGAGTCTGAACAAACTCTGGGAGATAGTGAAAGACAGGGAAGTTGCAAAAAGGGGGTTGCAAAAAGTCAGACACAACTGAGTGACTGAACAACAACAACAATTGTTGGGAAAACAGGACCTTGCCCAGAAGCTGCTCTTGACTTTTTCTCCCTGGTCTTGAATCCCTAGTTTAGTTCAGTTGCTCAGTCGTGTCTGAGTCCTTGCAGCCCCACGACTGCAGCATGCCAGGCTTTCCTATCCATCACCCACTCCTAGAGCTTGCTTAAACTCATGTTCATCAAGTCGGTGATGCCATTCAACATCTCATCCTCTGATGTTCCTTTCTCCTCCCACTTTCAATCTTTCCCAGCATCAAGGTCTTTTCCAATGAGTCAGTTCATGCCATCAGGTGGCCAAAGTATTGGAGTTTCAGCTTCAACATCAGTCCTTCCAATGAATATTCAGGACTGATTTCCTTTAGGATGAACTAGTTTTATCTCCTTGCAGTCCAAGGGACTCTCAAGAGTCTTCTCCAACACCACAGTTCAAAAGCATCAATTCTTTGGTGCTCAGCTTTCTTTATGGCCCAACTCTCACATCCACACATGACTGCTGGAAAAACCATAGCTTTGACTAGACAGACCTTTGTTAGCAATGTAATGTCTCTGCCTTTTAATATACTGTCTAGGTTGGTCACAGCTTTTCCTCCAAGAAGCGTCTTCTAATTTCATGGCTGCAGTCAACATCTGCAAAGATTTTGGAGCCCAAGAAAATTAAGGCTGTCACTGTTTCCATTGTTTCCCCATCTATTTGCCATGAAGTGATGGGAATGGATGCCATGATTTCCATTTTTTGAATGCTGAGTTTTAAGCCAGTTTTTTCACTCTCCTCTTTCACTTTCATCAAGAGGCTCTTCAGTTCCTCTTTGCATTCTACCACAAGGGTGATGTCATCTCCATATCTGAGGTTATTGATATTTCTCCGGGCAATCTTGATTCCAGCTTGTGCTTCATCCAGCCTGGCATTTCGCATGATGTACTCTGCATAGAAGTTAAATAAGCACAGTGACAATAGACAGCCTTGACGTAGTCCTTTCTCAATTTGGAACAGTTTCTCAAGTTCTCAATTTGGAACCAGACAGTTCATGTCTGGTTCTACCAGCTCCTTCTTGACCTACATACAGATTTCTCAGGAGGCAGGTAAAGTGTATTCCCATCTCTTCAAGAATTTTCCACAGTTTGTTGTGATCCACACAGTCAAAGGCTTTAGCATAGTCAATAAAGCAGAAGTAGATGTTTTCCTGGAACTCTCTTGCTTTTTCTATGATCCAACAGATGTTGGCAATTTGATCTCTGGTTCTTCTGCCTTTTCTAAATCCAGCTTGAACATCTGGAAGTTCTCGGTTCATATACTGTTGAAGCCTCACTTGGAAAACTTTGAGCATTATTTTGCTAGCGTGTGAGATGAGTGCAATTGTGTGGTAGTTTGAACATTCTTTGGCATTGCCTTTCTTTGGGATTGGAATGAAAACTGACCTTTTTCAGTCCTGTGGTCCCTGTTGAGTTTTCCAAATTGGTTGGCATATTGAGTGCAGCACTTTCACAGATAATGATCTTTTAAGATCTGAAATAGCTCAGCTGGAATTCCATCAGTTCCATTAGCTTTGTTCATAGTGATGCTTCCTGATGCCCGCTTGAATTCAACACTCCAAGATGTCTGGCTCTAGGTGAGTCATCACACCACTGTGGTTATCTGGGTTAGGAAGGTCTTTTTTGTATACGTCTTCTGTGTATTCTTGCCACTTCTTTTTAATATCTTCTGCTTCTGTTAGGTCCATTCCATTTCTGTCCTTTATTGAGCCCATCTTTGCATGAAATGTTCCCTTGGTATCTCGAATTTTCTTGAAGAGATCTCTAGTCTTTCCCATTCTATTGTTTTCCTCTACTTCTTTGCATTGATCACTGAGGAAGTCTTTCTTATCTCTATTCTTTGGAACTCTGCATTCAATGGGTATATCTTTCTTTCCTCCTTTGCCTTTAGCTTCCCCTCCCTTCCCTAATTAACAACTGCTTGAATCTGACCCCTGGGGCTCAGGGAAAGCCATGGAGGCTGAATGAATGTTGTTTCCTAAAATCAAAGAAATGGGAGACATAAAAACCTTGTGCCCAGGAGCCCCCGAGGGCCCTGCATGGTATCAGACATGAGCTGGGACTTGCTTTCATCTATTACTGTGGACTCTGAGCTCCACAGGGCAGAGGCAGAGTGCCCTCTTCCCCTTCTGTTGGGCCTAAGTGTCTGGTATATAGTAGGTGATCATTAACATCTTTAAAATAAAATAAACCTTTACAATAAATGCTATTCTTTTTTTTTTCCACTAATTTTCCAACGTATAAACTGAGAGTGCAAACATTCGCCCATATTCCTGCTAGAAGCTATACTTCCTTCACCTGTTGACTTTATGTGTTTTAATTAACATGAAACATTCTATGCGTCAGAGTACAGTTGGGAAGGCAGAAGCCACTGAGCAGTTTGAAAAAGAGGGAATTTAGAGGAGGGAGCAGTTTGTCCAGGAGATGGAAGAACAGAGGTGCCTATCTGGGGCCGAAGAGTGTGGCACCTCAGAGGAAGCTACTGTCACCCTGTCTTAGGAGGATTCCACGGAGGCAGGTTGCGGAGAAAATCTTGTGCAAATGTTTTAGGAAGTGATCCCAGGAAAAACCATTCCTGGGGAGTGGGACTGGGAGGGAAGGAAACCTAGCAAAGCATACCATAACCAAAGTGAGTCCCACAGGGACTAAAGGTGTTTCTGAGCATCACAGGAGTTGTCCATATGGAGAGGGTGCTGGGAGCTAGAGGGTTTGTTCTCCCAGCATTCGGTGAGGGGCACAGGAATTCCCCAGTACTGTGGCCGGAGTGCTTGGGGTGGGGTGGGATGGAGTTGGGGTGTCTGGCTGCCTGCATACAGCCTCAGAAAGGGATGCCATGCTGGCCCTTGAGAGTGGACATATTCTGGGAGCTCTGTGCAAAAAAACGTTCCAGGGCTTGGAGGGGATAAGGCAGGGGACTGGCACGAGACACTTGGAAGGGTTACAGTTTGTGGAGCCGAGAGCTGGCAACTCCCTGGGCGGTAGGGCTGGAACCAGGCACAGGCTTGCACTGCAGGGAGCACAGCTGGAAGCTTGAGGGTCTAGAGAGGCCCTGCCTTCCAGCCCCCACCCCAGCTCCCAGCCAGGGCAGCCAGGGCTGAACTTGGCTGCCTCAGACATCTGGTTCCTGCAGATGCAAGATGGCGCCGCAAGCTGGGGGTAGGTTTTAGCACAAAAGGACCTGTGCTGCTTTCTGTGGCTGTTCTATCATTTCTCCCTTGCTAGTTTGTACATTCAGGTTTAAGTTTTGCATAGGCAAACGTGTTAATTTTTAAATTATTGCTTTGTTTTATTCCTTAGTTGTGTTTATGCTATTTCCTGGTGACTTCTCTATTTTTTCCACTTTATTTTAATCTTAATCCATCCGGGGGGTGTTTGCTATATGGCATGAACGATAGAAGCAATGACTTTTTCTTATATTTTGCCACCCAGATATTATAAGACTATTTACTAGACAATTCTTGCCTACCTATTGGGCTGCCAGTTTCCTTAGATATGAATTCTTAGCTATCTTTAGATCTATATCTGGACTTCTATTAGTTTCCCTGCAGTTTCTCTTTTCGACCGGTGTTTCATCTCTATGGATTAGTTGTGCTATAACCTATTTCCACGGGCTTCCCAGGTGGCACTAGTGGTAAAGAACCTGCTAGTGCAGGAGACATAGAGACATGGGTTCGATCTCTGGGTCAAGAAGATCCCCTGGAGGAAGGCATGGCAAACCACTTCAGTATTCTTGCCTGGGGAATCCCATGGACAGCGGAGACTGGAGGGCTACAATCCATAGGGTCGCAAAGAGTCAGACATGACTGAGGTAACTGAACACACACACAACCCATTTCCACATCTGCTGAGTCTATACAAGCCAACTTTCTTCATTCATTTGCATCCCTTTCTTATGGCACCTACTGATGTTTACCCAGGGCTTTTAGAGTCACCTTGCTGAAGCCTATGAAAATTCATGATGGGATTTTGATGAGGACTGGAATCTTCTCGGTTTATAAATAAGGCCAGAGAGGTGAGGTGACTCTCCCAGGATAGGTCCTAATGCTGAGAATGGAAGCCAGGTTACCTTGCTCTGGGAGCCCTTGCTCTCTCTACTGCATCAAGGCAGGAAGGAGCCTTGTCCGCCTGTCCTTTCTCCCTGGTGCCTCTTCTGAACGTGGACTCTGTGCTCTCAGTAGTAAGTATATTTCTAATCAGTAGTTTTAGGTGATGGGACAAACTAAATGGACAGGACAGAGCCAGTTAGTATGGGGAAAGGAGGGATTGTGAGCAGATGAGCCAAGGGGTGTGAAAGACCATGACAAATACGCACGTGTGTGGGAGCATCCAAGCCCATAGCAGTGCTCACTCTTCTATCTCCCCCAGGACCCCTGGGATCAGCATCGTCATTCCTGCGGCATGTGGACTCCTGAGTAAGACCCTGGTCTTCATCGGTCTGTTTGCTATCACGCAGAGGTCATTTGCATCTTAGCCACAGGAATCCACAAGAATGATCTCCGACCTCCATCCGTGTCCACCTGGCAGTTGTGCCTAAACAGGGGTGTAAGGGGAAGAGGCGGGGGTCAGTGACATGAGCTGATCTGTAACTCAGGTGACGTCTAAGGCTCAGGATCCCACCTTCTTGGCCCTGCTAACTCCCCTCATTTAACTGATAACCTTGGGCGTGCATTGTCCCCTCACAAGAGAAGATATGGCCCCAAACCTGCTCATTCCACAGGCGGCTCAGGGTTTGCATTAAATGAAGACACTGCCTGGGACTTTCCTGGTGGCCCAGTGGCTAAGTCCGAGTTCCCAATGCAGAGGGCCCCCTGGGTTCCATCCCTGTCAGGGAACTAGATCCCACATGCTGCAACGAAGGTCGAAAATCCCATGTGGGGCAACTAAGACCCGGCACAGCCAGATAAACAAATAACTAACTAAATAAATATTAAAAAAATGAAGACACTGCCTGATGCTTTTCACTGTCAAGGTCTGTGGGGATCGTGAAGCACAGAGGCTACAGCCACTAACTCTGCCCTGGTCCTCACCCTGGACCACAACATTTTGACTTGAACTGGACAGAGTTCCCAGTACAGAGGCATCTTGTTCTCTCAGCTGCCAGGGCTGTCCTCTCCTCTAGAATCAGATGTTTTGATTTCTCTCCTTCATTTATGGCCTTTTCCAACACTCCTAGAAGATTGTTGAAAACCATGGAGCAAAGAGAAGATGAGATGTCATGGTAAGAACTCCATATTTGGGAAAGGGGAATTAAGCTAACCAGAAGGGCATATCCTGGGACAATACTGGGAGGATGAGATAGGATCCATGGCTTAGGACCGGTAAAGCAATATCACTTGTCTACTGTGTGCGTTTATTGTGGGCATCAGCAGGGGTGCATCTGGCCACTGGATCCTCAGAACAACCCCACAAAGGCAGAGATCCATTCCTGGAACATGAGAAGTGCATCACCACTTACTGGCAGGGACAAAAACTAGAGCTCCTTTACTGAAGACCTAGCGCCTCAAAGCCACACAGAAAGGAACAACAGGGAGCCTACTCTATCTAAGTGCCTCTTCCTTATATCACACGAGGTGCAGGGATGGTGGTGACCAGCTCTCACCAGTTAGGCTCCTGGATGATGTTCCCCATGTGCCCTGCTGGTACCAGCCCCTGCCTTCCTCTGCCTCTCTGCCCCTATAGCTCCCCCTTCACTCCCAAGCTCATCCATGAACGAGGTGTCCAGGCCTACCAACAGATTTCAATCAGTACTTTCTGATTTTCTACCTCTTCTGACTCTAAAGGGGAAGGGGCCCCACCAGTGGTGAAGAGATGATGGGTCCTTCCATTCCCATTCAGGAATGGCCAAGGCCAAAGTTGTCCTAAATTCCCTGAGAGCAAACATACTCTACCACCCACGATCCATATTCTTACCATCTTCCCCTATTTGTGTGAAACGGGTACCCTGAGAGCTAGGGTACTGTCCTCCCCTCCCTGAGCCCCTGCCATCCTGTGAGGACTTCCTCACCAACCTTGGGACTGACCCCTCTGAGAATCATGCATTTGGCCACTTAGGTCAAGTCACATGTCTGTACCATAGATGCCAGGGAGAAGGGGCAGGAGAACTATCTTTCTCCATGCTCAATAGAAGGAGAAATAGTGTTCTATGCCCTGTGAGACCCACACCTTGGGGCATATCCCCCAAATGGAAAGGGTATTGGGTGCTGGAGAGCCAAAATATGATGAATATCCATTACACAATTCCAAAGCTGGCAGAATTAAATGAGACAACCTGAGTAAAACATCTGGCACACAGCAGGTCTTCAATCCTTGGAGTCACTCCTGGTACCATTAAAACTGTGGTTTCTATGCTCACGTCTGGGTTGGAACTCAGGGAAGCACATACCTTAGACCCAGGCAGAGCACCTGAGGAACACTTTGGGGGCTAACTGACTCATATAGGACTTTTGGATGTGGATGAACTCTGATTCATCATCTATTTGGACCACTTGCTTCAGAATCACCTGGTATGCTTGTTAAAATGCAGGTTCCTAGGCCCTCCCCAGACTTATCAAATCAGTGTGTCTGGGTTGGAGCCCAGATGGGTGTATGTTTGCCAAGCTTCCTGAGTGATGCAGCCACATGCCCATCCTTGGGAATCACGGGGTGGAGTAAGATGGAAGAAGGTGGGTCATCGGGAAGGCTTGACTCAGGCCTCAAAAGGCAAGTCAAAGCTGGATACACAGTGTCAGGCAGGCAGGGAGATTGGTAGGAGGGGTTGTGGGATGTAGTGGTCAGTGGCCAGTGATGAGAATGTCTTGGTGGCTGGAGGCAGTCTTGGTGGCAGAGAGGTGGGACATCAGATGGATGGGTCTAGACTTGCTCTTGTGGAGAATGGGGAGCTGCTGAGTGTTGCCCAATTGCATAGAGACATGATGAAAGCAGGAAGGAAGATGTCACAAGGGCAGCGACCTCTCTCTTCTCTTTCTTCTGCATTTTCCTGAGCTGCCAGGTCTTGTCACATTTTCCTCAGGGTTTCTCAACTTCAAACTGACAACCAAGCCTCCTCAGGGAAGATGGAAAACACCCAAGTGAGGCAACAGCCTCCAGTAAATGGAAAAGATGATGAAGCGACCGACGCACAGTGGATCCAGGGAGTGGGATGAAGTGGAGGGGGAGGGCTCTGGGGGTGACCATGGCAACTGCTGCTGCTCCGGGTCTCAGGTAAGGAGAGGCAGGGAGAGGGATGTAGATGGCTAAGGGAAGGTACCTACTAAGAGGAGGGGTTTTCTTTCATTTCTTAAGGAGGGACTGAAGTGGGATCAGGGCACATGTGTATTAAAGATGGAGAAGCAGGAAAGGAAGGTCATGAATGCATACTGTCCTGCTTGACCCTGTCCCAGCAGGGACTGGATGATGAAATAGAAGCTGGAGGTTCTTTTCCTGCACCTTGAGGCTGAGAAAACTATGTGAAGTCAACCAAATGATCTCTCCTTGATCTACTGATATGTGGAGGGCAGTCCCCCTCTAAAGGAATCAGGTACTAAGAGGAACATTAATAGAGGAAAGGGCAAATAACAAGAAAAGGGCCAAGATGCAACATGGAGGCAAAATTATGGTGGAAGTCCCCCTAGCAAGACACAGAGAGGGGGTAGAAAGAAGGTAAGGGCTCTAGAATCAGACAGAGCAGGCTTCAAATCCTATCTCTGCCACTTTCTAAATATGTGACCTTATGAAGTCCTCTATCCTCGCTGAGCCTCTTTTTCCTCATTTGAGTCCCTACTCAGAAGTATTCATTTGTAAATGGTACCTTCTTCAGAAGGTTGTTCCGAGAGTTTAAAAGCAGACAGATGGACTTCCCTGGTGGTCCAGTGGTTAAGAATCTGCCTATCTGTGCAGGAGACATGGATTTGATCTCTGGTCTGGAGACTCCACCTACCTCAAGGCAACTAAGCCTGTGAACCACAACTACTGAGTCCTGTGTGCCCCAGACCCCACTACTCTTCAATAAGAGAAACTGCTGCAATAAGAAGTCCACGCGCTGCAACCAGGGAGTAGCCCTCACTTGCCACAAATAAAGAGCAGCCCGGGCACAGGAACGAAGACCCAGCACAACTATAAACATTAATACACAAACAAAAGCAGGCTGATGTAAATTCTTGGCTCAGGGTTTATGGCACTGTAGGTGCTAAAAAGTTATGGTGGATGGTGGTGATGTAACCAGGTGTAGGGTGATCACTGGTATTGAGGGTTGAGAAGAGAAAGAGGTTAGTACCAGCTGGATCTGTTCACTTAGGCTCCCCATGTCTTTCTTTTGTTTGTAACTGAAGATGGTATTTAAGCCAGAGTTCAACCACCTTGTGGAGTTCCTCATTTTACCCTGGGCATCTCCCACCTTTACATGAGGTATGCATGTTTAAAAGCTTGTTTGTTTTTCTCTTATTAATCTTCTTTAAAAAAAAAAAACTGAAGCTAGTTATTTTTATTTGATTTATTTATTTTTACTATTATTTTATTTTAGCTCTGTTGGGTCTTTGTTGTGGCTTAGTTGTTGTTGGGCTTAGTTGACCCATGGCATGTCGGGTCTTCCTGGACCAGAGATGAAACCCACGTTCCTGGTATGGGAAGGCAGATTCTTAACCACTGGATCACAGGGAAGTGCTTAATCTTATTTTATTATAGGGGTCTCAGCCAAGAACTCAGAAGGGTAGAAGGAAAATGATTTTTCCTCCCTTATACCTATGGACCTCTAACTTCCTTCCTCCACTGAGGTCTCCCCAGCTCCAGGCAGCTATTTAGAACCAGACCTATTAAACCTTTGCTGAAAGTTTCACATGTGTGAAGCTCACATCTGGTCCACGGGACATATCCACTTCACTCATTCCAGCAAACTGGAGCTTCCAGCAAACTGGAGCTCTGGTGGATCCCTATCCAGTCATCTTTCCTTCACTCTGCCATGGAGACAGGGAGCCATCAGCAGTCTCTTCCTGTTGTAGTTCTCAGGTTTGAGTCAAAGACCAGTCTGCTGCGTCCTCCAAACTCCAGGGGACACTTAACAAGCTCTCCAAGTTGTGACCTTGAAGCCCCTCTCCTTAGACTTGAGGTAAGGGGCAGGCGTCCACTCCCTTCTGCCCTTAGGGTCATAGGACACCAAAACTGTCTCCCCACATCCTCTCCTAATCTTCAAAATCCCTACAACTTTATATCCTTGATGTGGGTAAGGTTTAGATACCTTTCTGCATGTGGTATAGTGGTCTCCCAGCTCACTCTGCAATGTGGGATCTTTACTTTGAACTTATATTAGTCAAGGTTCAGTTGCAGATAACAAAATCCAATGTATCTATTTTAAGTACAATAGAAATACATCCTTTAAAAATAGAATACTAAGTTGTTGTTGCTAAGTCATGTCTGACTCTTTGTTACCCCATGAACTGCAGCACACCAGGCTTCCCTGCTCTTCACTATCTCCCAGAGTTTGCTCAAACTCATGTTCATTGAGTCTGTGAGGCTATCCAACCATCTTATCCTCTGTCACCCCCTTCTCCTCTTACCCTCAATCTTTCCCAGCATCAGGGCCTTTTCCAGTGAGTTGGCTTTTCGCATCAGGTGGCCAAAGTATTGGAGCTTCAGCTTCAGCATCAGTCCTTCCAACGAATATTCAGGGTTGATTTCCTTTAGGATTGACTGGTTTCATCTCCTTGCTGTCCAAGGAACTCTCAAGAGTCTTGTCTAGCACCAGTTTGAAAGCATCAATTCTTCAGCACTCAGCCTTCTATATGGTCCAATTCTCACGTCCATACATGACTACTGAAACCAGAGCTTTGACTATGCAGACCTTTGTCAGCAAAGTGATGACTCTGCTTTCTAATGCATCATCTAGGTTTTTCAAAGTTAGCTTTTCTTCCAAGGAGCAAGCATCTTTTAATTTCTACTCTTGAGTTTCTTGGAATGACTGTCAAAGCCATATACATGGTGGGGCGATTAAGGGGCCACTGCTCGTCCCACAGTTAGGACTCTGGGGCATCAATAAACTTTCCAAATCAGGAAGCTACAGCATTGTTTCTGGTCCCAGACTCACCCCATGTCAGCCACACTCTATACCAGCAAAATGGATGCCTTTCTTCCTACTCAACTGAATTCCAAATTTAAGTTTCATACAGATGCCTTGGATTGGTGGAGCCCAAATTATCTCTGGAGCCATGCCTGCCAGAAAGCCTGAGATGTGATTTTGCAGACCTTTCATTACATGAAGCCCAAGAGAGGGAGGTGGGAACGGAAGTTAATTCCACAGCATCTGCCCAAACAATCTCAGCCAAAACTGAGATGCAAATAGTTCAAATTTTAAAGATTTTTTTTTCTTGCTGTCAATGAAAGATAAACTGAGTAGAGAACAAACACCTCCTCTTTGTTATGTTATGGCAAATACATTCTCTTATCTGTCATAAAGTCATGTTATAATAGCAACTTCCTATTTCCCCAAAACAATATTTTGGATATTATTATTTGCTATATATCACCCTGAAGCCATAACAAGATACAGACCCAGACAATAAATTCCAGAATTTGTGGTACTTTTCTTGGAAACTTCAGTGCCTTTTAAAAATGACTATTTCCCATCAGTCTCTTCTTTTCCTGGGATACTGACATGATCATTCATTACACAGTGACATCTGGAAAATTCAGCTTCCTTGGCAGCCACATAAGTAAAAGCTGTTCTGTTTTAGCATCCTGTAAATTGAGAGCTTTCAGAACATCATAAAATCAGAAATGATTACTTTAGGAACCAAGGGCAGGTCTTCTGGGCTAGGGGCTGCTCTTTCTACCAATCCTGGGCTACTATACTGTGATCTTTCCCCAGTCTTAATCCCACCCCTTCTTTGAAAGACTTGCCTTGAACTGAACTTCCCACTGCATTCTGATCTTGTCATATGTAAGATGCTCACACAGCTCTGCTGAGGCTGAGTTCTTCTTGACCTCTGTGAGCAATAAACTCATCTTTCTCTTATCAACAGCTTGTGTTGGTGATATTCAAGAAGCCAGCATTTCAAGAAGGTAATTAAACCCATCCATTTCTCCCTTATGACTTAGGTTCTGGGATCTTATTCAAGATGTCCTTCCCAGTCTGAAGCACTGTAATATCCTGAATATTGTCTTTTACACAATGTTTGAAGATATTCTCACACATTAAATTTTGTTAGCTTTACAATTTTGACACAAACAGGACACAATGAAGAAATCCGTCCCTTAGGAGGAGTGGGGCTGGATCTTGTGAATGTCCATCTCCACCATCTAGAGCTGTGCTAATACTCTAGCCATTAACTACATGTGCATTTAAATGAATCAAAATTAAGTGAAAAATAAGAATCAGTTCGTTGGTCACACGTGTCACATGTCAGAGCTGAACAGTCACACGTGGGAGTGGCTACTGTGTTTGATGGGAAGGCAAGGAACACAATCACTGTGGGGAATTTTCTTGGACAGCACTGTATTCTCAAATTCTGTTTCAACAAAACTGGCTGACAAAGCTTTCAGTTCCTTGTTATAAATTTAGTGTCTTATTAATACAGATTACAACTTTTTATAGCACACTGCTGCTGCTAAGTTGCTTCAGTCGTGTCCGACTCTGTGCGACCCTATAGATAGCAGCCCACCAAGCTCCTCTGTCCCTGGGATTTTCCAGGCGAGAGTACTGGAGTGGGGTGCCACAGTCTTCTCCATTATAGCACACCGCACACTGTATTTTCATAACTGGGCAGTTTGATTAAGAGTTTCCATTTCACTAAAGCAGATTTTTTCCCCTTAGAGAATCACACTTCTGAATTTTAATTTTCCTTCCTCAAAGAAAGGGTTTGTGCTATTTTGGTGCCCCAATCCTTTTGCCCTATTCCCCTCAAGTCTACTCCAAAGTCATCTTGTGCTAGCTCAAAGCAAGTGCAAGTGCGGCCCATCTGGATGGATAATGAGGCTACACTGGAGGCTGGGGTGCATGAGGGTTGCTCAGCGGTCAGCAAAGAGTTGTGGTGAGGGGGTGCGGGGTTGGAGGGCAGGATTCAAATGCCCAACTCGGGCATCTCTCTGTGAAGTCTGTGAAATGTGGGCAAGTCCCTGGCCTGCTCTGCTCCGCAGCCTCTGCAAGGAAAAAGGCAGGAGGCTTGAGACCCGCTCTGCCGTCCCCTCCTCATGCGAACAAGGCGCTTGCGAGAACAGCGATGCAGGGTTGAGCAAAGCCGGGCTCACAGAAGTAAGTGAGAGGCTGGCGTGGCCCTCGGCGGACTTGCAGGCTCTCTAGAGAGGATGGAAGCATGCCCACTGCAGGGTGGTGATGGAACACAGCACAGAGTCAGGGCCAGGGTGTGCGGCCAGATGCTACGTGCTCAGGGCAGGCCGAGGTGGCGGCTGCAGCCTGGAGTTCTCTGCACCGGCGTCTTGCGAGAGGGGCCCCTTGTGGCCCTCTGGTAAGTGAGGTGAGTTGGGGAGCGGCCCTTGGAGGCATTGCAGGGGCTGGAGAAGCGGGCAAGCTCTAGGACAGCCTGAGGCAGGAACAGCATGGAGTGGGCCCACAAGGGGAGTAGACACAGGGGGCTAGAGATGTGGGGGTCTTAATGCAGGCCCAGGCTTCTAATTGAGCCGAGGAGTCCAGTTAACAGGGCACTGCTGAGCGCTCTCATGAGATCAGTGGTGAGGACACAGACTCATGGACAAAGTAGATACAGACCCTCCCCACTTTGTCTCCGTGAGCAAAAATTGATGTACTGTATACATGGGCCTATTTCTGGATCCTCTAGTTTATTCTATTGATCTGTTTGTCTTTACACTAATTTCACACTGTCTTGTTGACTGTAGCTTTACAGCAAATATATCTATCAGATAATGTAAGTACCTCAACTTCATTTTTCAGATTGTTTTGGCTATTCTATAACCTTTGCATCTCCATATGAATTTTAGGACCTTGTAGTCAGTTTCAACAGATAAAATGTCCATTGACTGGTGAGTGAATAAACAACATGTATATCCCAGTGGAATACTGTTCAGCTATTTAAAGGAATGACATACCGATATAACTTGTTGCAGAAAGTACTGCTACAACATGGATGAATCTCAAAAACACTATGCTAAAGGAGCCAGTCACTAAGCACCATGTATTGTATAATTTTGTTTTCCTGAAATTTTCAGAATAGAGAAATCGATAAAGAAAGAAAGTAGATTAGTGGTGGCTTGGGGCTGCAGTGCTGAGACAGGCAGGAACAGGGAGAATAATAAGTGGGAAAATGGTCTCCCAAAAGATCTCCACGTGCTAATCCCTGGAACCTGTGAATGATACTTATATGATAAAAAAAGGAGGAGTTCTTTCAGATGTAGTTAAGGATTTTGAGATGGGGAGACTATTATGCACTAGGTGGCTAGTACTAAATGCAATCATGTATATCCTTCTAACAGGGAGGTGAAGGGAGATTTGAACACACACAGAAAATGTTCTGAGAAGGTGATGTGAAGATGAAGCAGAGATTTGAAGATGCTGACTTTGTTTTTGTGCTTTTTTAAAAAAGGAAATCTGAAGATCCTTTTATTTTTTAATTTTTATTGGAGTATAGTTGCTTTACAATGCTGTGTTAGTTTTACCATACAGCAAAGTGAATCAGCTACATGTATGCATATATCCTCTCTCTTTTGGATTTCCTTTCCATTTAGGTCACCACAGAGCACTAAGTAAGAGTTCCCTGTGCTATGCAGTAAGTTCTCATTACTTATCTGTTTTATACATAGTGTCAATAGAGTATATATGTCAATTCCAAGGGCTTCCCAGGTGGTGCTAGTGGAAAAGAACCTGCCTGCCAAAGCAGGAGACATAAGAGACATGAGTTAGATCTCTGGGTCAGGAAGATCCCCTGGAGGAGGGCATGGTAACCCACTCAAAGCATTCTTGCCTGGAGAATCTCATGAACAGAGGAGCCTGACTGACTATAGTTCATAAGGTTACAAAGAGTCAGACATGACTGAAGCGATTTAGCACGCATGTCAATCCTAATCTCCCAATTCACCTTACCTTTTCCCCTTTGGTATCCATACATTTGTTGTCTGTGTCTATGTCTTTATTTCTGCTTTGTAAATAAAATTGTCTATACCAATTTCCTCAGATTTCACATATATGTGTTAATATATGATATTTGTTTTTCTCTTTCTGATTTACTTTGCCTCTGTATGACAGCCTCTAGATCCATCCATGTCTCTACAAATGACAATTTAATTCCTTTTTATTAAAGATGCTTACTTTGAAGACTTGAGTGATACAGTCACTAGCTGCAGAATGTTGGCACTACCAGAAGCTGGAGGAGGCAAGGACCAGCTTCTTTCCTATAGTCGCTGAAGACGCTGCAGCCCTACTAATACCTTGATCTTGGTTCAGTGATATTGACTTCAGGCTCCTGGCCTCCAGGACTGCGAGAGAATACATTTCTACTGTTTTGAGTCAACACATTTGCAGTAATAGGAGTAATAGGAAACTTATTCAGGGTGTGACTGCTCATGGACATGGGTGACGAAATGTTCTGAAACTGGATTGTGGTGATGGTTGCACAACTCAGTGAATATCCCCAAAACCACTGGAGTGTACACTCTAAGTGTGTCAATTTTATAATGTGTGAATTATATCTCAATAAGACTGTTAAAAAATCTTTGTGACCTTGGGTTAAGCAAAGATTTCTTAGATATAACACCAAGGTATGATACATAAAAAGTGATATATTGGAGACTCCATAAAAATTTACAACCCTTGCTCTTGAGAGATACTATTAAGAAAATAAAAAACACAGATTGGGAAAAATATTTGCAAAACACATATTTGATACAAGACCTATTAGACTATATAAAGAGTCCTCAAATTCAATAAGAAGAAAACAAACAAATAAAAAATTAAGATTTGAACAGAACTTACCTCAAAGCAGATATATTGATGGCAAATAGGTACAACAAAAGATACTCAATATCATTAGTTATTAGAGAAATGCAAAATAAAACCACAACAAATACTACTACATACTATTAGAATGGGGGTGGGTGGGCGGGAAGAACAACACTTGACAATATCAAAATGCTATGAAGGATAGGGGAGCAACTGGAACATCACTGGTAGAAATGCAGAATGGTGTAGCCACATTGGAAAACAATTAGTCTGTTTTTAAAAAATTAAATACAATCTTACAATAGAACCCAGAAATCCTGCTCTAGATATTTACCCAAGTGAAACGTAAGCCCATTTCACAAAACCCTGTGTGTAAATATTTGTAGTAGTTTTATCTGGAATAATCCCAAACTGGAAACCAAATCTTATTATCCCTGAACTGGGAGGGATATGCATAAACAGTTATGACACATCCATACAGTAGGATCCTGCTTTGCAATAAAAAGAAACAAAGTACTGATATACTCAACACACACATCTCAAATGCCTAATATGCCACACATTGGAGAAAAAGAAACCCTCCAACTCTGTTGGTGGGAATGTAAGTTGGTGCAGCCACAATGGAAAATGGTATGGAAGTTCCTCAGAAAACTAAATATAGAGTTGTCACATGATCCAACATTCCCACTCCTAGGCATATATGTGGACAAAGCTATAATTCAAAAAGATACACGCACCCCTATGTTCATGAGCATCTTTATTCACAATAGACAAGACATGGAAACAACCTAAATGTCAATTAAAAGATAAACGGATAAGGAAGATGAGGTACATATATCAATAGAATACTACACAATTTACAAAGAATGAAATAATGCCATTTGCAGGAACATGAAAGGAACTAGATATTATTATGCTAAGTGAAGTAAATCAGAAGGAGAAAGATGAATACCATGTGATGTCATTCGTATGTGGAATCTACAATGTGACAGAAATTAACTTATCAACAAAATAGAAACAGACCCACAGACATAAAGAATAGACTTGTGGTTGCCAAGGAGAGGGGCTGGGAGAGGGAAGTGATTTGGAGTTTGGGATTAGCTGATGCAAACGGTTGGCTTCCCAGGTGGCGCAGTGATAAAGAATCTACCTGCCAATGCAGGAGACGCAGAGGACACGGATTTGATCTCTGGGTTGGGAAGATCCCTTAGAGTAGGAAATGGCAACCCACTCCAGTATTCTTGCCTGGAAAATTCCACGGACAGAGGAGCCTAGTGGGCTACAGTCCATGGGGTCTCGGAGAGTTGGACACAATGGAGCATGATGCAAACTAATATATATTGAGTGGATGAACAACAAGGCCTTAGTGTATAGCACAGGAAACTATATTCAGTATCCTGTGATAAACCATAATGGAAAAGAATATAAAGAATGTATACATGTATAACCGAATCACTTCACTGTATAGCAGAAATTAACACAACATTGTTAAGTCAATATACGTCAATAAAAAAACATGCTAGACACTGAACCATTCCATTTTTATAACATTCTGGAAAGGGCAGAACTATAGAGGGAAAAATACCAGATCAGTTTGCTAGGGACTGAGGGTGGGGTGAGAGGAAGACTACAAAAAGACACTAGGAACATTTTGGGGGTAATGAAACATTTCTATATCTTGATTATGGTGGTGGTTGCAAGTCCCCACGGGTTTATCAGACTCCCAGAACTTTTGACTGAAAAGGGTGAATTTTATCTATGTAAATTAGACCTTAATTTTTTAATCCAAAATAGAAAGACACAAAAACATCCTGTTGTGTTAAATTATTTTGTATATAAAAGTCTAAGTAATGTGTACAAATTTTTAGATATTTTAATAAATCTTTCCAAATTTTCCTCAGAAACATTGAATCCAATTTATACTTCCTCTGTTGAGTGGAATGAGAGCATGTGGGTTTTTATTTTCTTGTCAACACAGCTATCACAGTGAATGCATTTTTCACACGGCCTCACTCAGTGCTAGGGACACAGTAGGGGGTTAATAGAAGCATAGAGTCTAAGTACATGTGGTCCCCACAAGAGATAAATGGGATGCCCTGTGTCCTGAAGCCATTTACTGTTTGGATGGAGGAAAGAAAGGAAGATACCTTTTGTGTTGGGAGGAGAGACAGTCTCTGACTGGAGAGACTGTCCCCAGACAGTCTCTGGGGAGCAGTGTTAAACTGGGGGAGAAAATAAAAAAGGGTGATTGAGAAAAACATATTGAGAGGTCTAAAGTGACAACCATATCTCTTCCTACCCCAAGTGCCTAGTGCCACATGTAGCACATAAGACTGAAAGAAGCAATAAATGAATGAATGGATGTTGAGACTAAAATTTGGGATCAGCAAAAATACAACTTCCTTGCTTTGGGATTTGGGGCTTCAAGCTCATTTCAAGGCTGTGGCCATGCAGACTTGGGGATGTTTTACTCTGAGTCCCATCTAAGGAGAAAGTTGGCATAGGTGAGGAGGGGGAGGACGCATAGTCACGGGAGTCCACCTGGGTCCCCACACGCCCAGGAGCCTATGACGCAGGTCCTGGGTGTCAGAAGTCCCTTCTCATTCTCAGCCCTGAGGACTAAGTGAAGGGTGGAGTCTTGGGCCAGATGCTGGGTCATTTTAGCTGGAGCCAGACAGCTGTATAGCAGAGATAATGTGGGCTGAGAGGAAGCATGTCTGTGTGCTGGCAGGGGGGCCAGAGCAGGGGATGGGGTGGGGGTGGGGGGGCTGGGGGTGTGGTTTCTGGAATGGAGGTGGGGGTGGGGGAAGGGAAACACCGGCTGCTTTAGGAAGGCTGCAGCGGGGAGCAGGAGTCCGGATGGAGCTGGTGGGTGATTAGAGATGATGGTAGAAGAGGCAGAGAGAGGGATAAAGATAAGGAGACAAGTGAGTATGGAAAAGGAGAGGCAGCTTCTGTGTGTGTGTCTATGTGAGTGTGTATGTGAGTGTGAGAGTGTTAATGTGTGTGCACAGTGTAAGAGTGTGTGTGTATATGTGAGTATGAGAGTGTATGAGTGTGCTAGTGTATGTGTGTGTGTGAGTGTATGTGAATGTGTGCACGAGTGTATGTGAATGTATGAGTGTTTGAGTGTGTGTATAAGAGTGTGTGTGTAGGTATGTATGAGAGTGTGTTAGTGTATGTGAGCTTTCCCCTTCCCCAAAGGGATACTGCAGTTATATCACATACCCAATAGGCACCATGACGTGTGTAAGTGTGTGTGAGTGTGTATGTATGAGAGTGTGTTAGTGTATGTGAATGTGTGTGTATGAGAGTGTGTTCATATATATGTGTGTATGAGAGTGTGTTAGTGTATGTGAGTCTGTGAGTGTGTATGAGTGTGTGTATGTATGAGAATGTGTTAGTGTATGTGAATGTGTGTGTATGAGAGTGTGTTCGTATATATGTGTGTATGTACGAGAATGTGTTAGTGTATGTGAGTCTGTGAGTGTGTTTGAGTGTGTGTGTATGAGAATGTTAGTGTGTGTTTGAGTGTGTGTGCGTGTGTGTATGAGTGTGTATAAGTGTGTGTGTGTATGAATGTGTGTGTATGAGAGTGTGAATGTGTGTGTATGAGTGTGAATGTGTGTATGAGTGTGTGAGTGTGTGAATGTGTGTGTGTGAGTGTGAGTGTGTGTGTATGAGAGAGAGTGTGTGTGTAGGAAAGTGCGTGAGTGCGTGTGTATGTATGCCCACATGTGAGAGCACAGGTGCTCCTCCCTGAACCCAAACAATTTGCTGCTTCTTTTTTCACACACTCTGTGCTGTGTGCTTAGTCACTCAGTCGTGTCCGACTCTTTGCAACCCCACGGACTGTAGCCTGCCAGGCCTCTCTGTCCATGGAGAGTCTCCAGGCAAGAATACTGGAGTGGGTTGCCACACTCTAATAGTGACAAAAAATAAGGTTGCATCTGGGCATGTAAAGGGTTATCTGCAAGTGTGAGCGTGAGTGACTGCTCAGACTAGCCAGGAGCCTGGGAGAGAGAAAGGCAGTGCCAGAATGAACGCATGCATTTAGGAATGAATGAATGAAAAAATGAATGGGAGTTAACAGGAAGCTCCGTGTGAATGTGGGTGTGTGAAAAACGGGTCTGAGATGCCCTGCTGCAGCCCCGTAGCCTATACTCATGGTCTCTGAGCCAGAGGATTCCAGAGAAGTCTGCACCTGAGGTTCTAGAAACCTCACACTACCCCTCTAGGTGAATAACGGGCTTCAGAGGACAGCACTCTTATTGCACCAGATTCTGGGAGGGAACCTGAAGAGGGTCAGGACTCTTCTGACCCTGAGAGCCCTTCCTGGGCGGGGAGGCCCCAGACTGGGTGGAGCAGCCACACCTGCCTGAAGTTTCGAGGAAGAGGGGCGGAAATTGCCCCGGCGCCGCCCTCTTGTAGGCTCTGTGGGCTCCCGCGGTCTGCTGATCACAGTGGGTCCCACAGCTTCCTCACTTCCCTAAATGGGCAACTTCACATTTAGAACCCCAGGTCTTCCCTGGCAGACCCAAATGGCCCGGCCAGGATAGGCCTGGGCCCCTAACCTTGGATCCCTGCCCCCCACTGGCCGTGCCCATCCCCACTGCATGGAGCCATGCCTCCCGCCTTCCTGCTGCTGCTGCTGCTGCTGCTGTGGGTCCAGGGCCCTGTCTCAGGTGAGAGGGTGGGTGGGCGGCTAGGGGGGAGGAAACGGTCTGTCCCTGGACCCCCTTGCTGCTTTTCTTGCCCAGTGATCTTGTGGGGTTGGAGGAGGCGGAGGAGGAGGTCTGGCAGACCTAGTCGCCCCTTACCAGAGACCAGTGAGAAGTTTCCAGCAGAATACCTGGCCCTGGGGAAAGCTAACCCAGGCCTCACCAACTAAGATAAAGCCCTGGACCCTCTCTGCATGGGCCCCTTTATCTGCCCGGCTTCCTCAGGACTTCTGACCAGGGCCACTCCCTTTCCTCACACAACAAGCCCTCCTCCCTTGGGCCTCTGTCAGGAAGGCCCTGTTGGTTCTCTATGAGAAGCATTACCTCACGGGTGTGGCTGCTGACCTTGCTTTTTCTTGGAACGCTGGGGCCACAACCCCCGTCCCTACCCGCTGTCCTTGGCGGGGAGGGAAGCAATCCTTGAAGCCCTCTCTCTCACCCAACAGCTACTAAATGCTCCTTGAGGGGACCTCACCCAATTCTGCCTGCCTTGCTGCCATGGCAACCAAGTTACCACTTCCCGTTCAGTTCTGGGCACCGCCTGTGAAAGGGCTGAAAGGTGGGCACACATGAACACAGTGCCCTGGAGACCCTTTTCAAGGTCATCCCATCTATACACCTCTCCTAGAAAGGCCCCCCTCTGCCAGGGCAGAAGAGTGTCTCCTGGGGTCCCCCAAACCTGTCATCTGCCAAATAATTGGGATTATTCTGTTTAATTTTTATGGGACAAAGTGATACAAGAGAGGGCATTACCTTACTCCAAACCTCAACTCTAGCGGCAGCTGGGTTGGAAACTAAGGTGGATGTCTTGGATGCTGGGCTCTTTCTTGGTCATCACAGCTCTGGGTTCCTTTGGGAAAGCCTGGAACAACCTGCATTGGGGAAAAGGAGGCGTGCACTGCACACGTACCACGTTTAGGGCGCTGTCCAGGGTCAGTTCTCACAGCCAAGCAGAGACGGATAAGAAGCAGAGACCTTACATGGTCTGCTCACACAGTCAGTGATAGAATCGAGTTTTAACCTATGTTTATTTAGGTATGTTCTGTATACATTCTCCAAAATGTATGTTCTGTACTCTGTGTATGTGTTTGCAGAAGACTCTGAGCGATTTAGAGGAGTAAATGCCGAGTGGAAGGTGGGTAGAGAGGGGTGGAGGGCCCCCACTGCAGCCTTCTCCTTCTTCCTGTCCCTTGGCTTACCACCCTCAGCCCTAGTTCTACCCTCTCCTCATCAGACTAAGGGTTACGAAGCTCCCGGACCACATCTGCTTCCTAGGGATAGAGGGCAACTTATGAACAGTGAAGAACTGTAGAGATCTTTGGTTTAAACACAACCAGGAGTTGATACACATATTTGGACATGCTGAATCTATGGGTTTTAGGTAACTAGAATATTTTACAATTAAACATCAATTAGAGTGAATCCAAACAACTTGTTATTTAAAAGATGACTACAGTGAAACTGTTTGTGAAACAAATAACTACAGTTAATATTTTCCAAGCCTGAATTTTCTCACCTACCTAAGTTCACTGGGCTCTGGAATTTCAGAATGATGACTTGCATTTGCGTCTGTATCTCATTGAGGGCAGGACAAGACCCTAAGGACGGGGCTTATCACTCTCCCATCGGACTAGAAGATGCCACAAAGAAAAGGGCTGTGTCCGCTGAAGTTCCCTAAACGTAAAGGCTAAGCTTCCTTTGTTAAACTAGGGGCTCCCTGTGGGCTATGCCTGTGTCTCCACCATTATACTGGGAGTTCCTCTGTATGTATCTAGCTAGCCCTGTATCTTCCTCATCATTTTAGGATTTCTCCAAGGGCACAGGACAGCTGTCTTCCCCATCAGTCTGGGAACTCCTAGAGGGCAGGGCTAGTGTCTCCTCCAAAAGACCGAGAGCTCCCTGGGGGAGGGGGCCTATGTCCCCCTCCATCAGAGTTGGGCTGTATTTCTCCTTTGAGTTCCATGAGAGCAGAGCAATAGCCACCTGCCTCTTCACCACAAGTTTCAAGTTTCAAGATGCTTCCTTCCTCCTTGCTCAACCAGTTGTGTCTCCCCAGGTGCCCCCATGGAGCGCGTGTACTCAAAATTGCAGCACTTCGAAGGGGAGACTCTGTCTGTGCAGTGCTCCTACAAGAGCCGCAAAAACCACGTGGAGGGTAAGGTTTGGTGCAAAATCAGGAGGAGGCAGTGCGAGCCTGGGTTCACCCGTGTGGGGGTGCAGGGGCCACGCTACTTGCTGCAGGATGATACCCAGGCCAAGGTGGTCAACGTCACCATGGTGGCCCTCAGGCGCCAGGACTCGGGCCGGTACTGGTGCATGCGTAACAGCTCCGGCATCCTCTACCCTCTGATGGGCTTCCTGCTGGAAGTGTCTCCAGGTGAGCAGGCCTGCTGGGGCACTGGGATGCTGGGGGGTGTCCTCCCGCCCTGTAGTCCACTGAAATCAAATATGACAAGGATGATAATAATCCATCAGTGGGCATGATGGACAGTGGGGTTTTCACAGTTCTCTCACAGGCACCTTCATGGGCATTTTACAGATGAAGAAAATGAGATGTAAAAAGTCCTTTGCAGCTCTGACCTTGCTCAGAATCACAGAGCTAGCAAGTGGACGAGATGAGATTCGCACCCAGGACTCTCTGTACTTTGTTTTATTCAATCATTTGTTCAGTATTTATTTGCTGTGCCCTGATTCTCTGCCAGGCACGATTCTATGCTCTGAGGACACAGTGGTGAGCAAAACCAGACACATTCCTATCCTATGGGAGGAGATAGGCAATAACACATTGTCAGACAAACAGTTGCAGATAACAGTGAATGTTCTTAAGCAAATGAAAACAATGGGATGAACTAGAAAGTTCTGTGGTGGGGGGAGCGACTGAGTTAGTGGGGAGTCAAAGAAGACTTCCCTGAGCAGATGACGTCATGCAGAACCTGTGTGGGATGAGAGTTTTCTAGTCCTGTTGAAAGTGAGTGGTTCAAAGGGCTTTCCAGGTGGGGAGAACTGTACATGCAAAGGCCCTGAGGTGAGAAGAAGCTGGTGCATATTGAGTATTGGGCAGAGCAACAGAAGATGAGGTTGGAGAAGCAAACAGCCGTCCTGATGCCCATGAAATGGGGGTCATAGTTTTATTCTAGGTACAAGGGGAAGCTACTGGAGAGTTTTAGAGGGGTGATATTGTGCCTCGACTTTAAGATAATCAAAGCTCTCTCTTTAGTATAGAAAAAGAGAGAAGGGCCAAGGAAGAAGCCCTATGCTGTTTCTACATTTACAAGATAGGAAAGGGTGAGGAGCCAGACAGAGAGCCTGCAAAAAGCTGCCAGTGACTGTGAAAATTACTCTCCACCCTTCCCGGTTCCTCTAACCCAACTGCATCCCCATCTTCCTTTGGGTCTGAACTTGAGCAACTGCCATCTCTAAGACACGGAGCAAATCTCATTCCTCCCTTCTCCAGTTCTGCTTTAGCCCCAGGGAAGTAGTCGAAACCAGTTTACTGAAGTCTTCATTTGTAGGGACACAAACATGAAATTGAGGGCGGGAGCAGAAGGGGACGACAGAGGATGAGATGGTTGGATGGCATCACTGACTCAATGGACATGAGTTTGAGTAAACTCCGGGAGTTGGTGATGGACAGGGAAGCCTGGCATGCTACAGTTCATGGGGTTGCAAAGAGTCAGACATGACTGAGCGACTAAACTGAAACTAAACATGAAATGATTTTCCCCTTAGTGTATCTTCCTATTGTACTATGCTGGATCTCACATTCTATCTCTTAACTGCAATTTGGGGAGATTCCAACTTTGCAGACCTTACTAGCAAATGAAAAATCTGCAAAACTTCTAATGACATATGCCCTTCCACCGCCTCTTGAAAACCGAGCTTTCTGGCCCCAGACACCTGAAGTGGGAAAGGGGGACAGGTGCTGTCCAACCCCCCTTCTTCATCACAGGAGGTAGGGGAGGAGGGTTCCTCTCCATCATCATCTCCTGGTCCTGCACCTCCCGACCCCTTGGTGTACTGAGGTAGGGATGAAGGAGAGGGAAATGGTTATGTGACCTCACTGACCCTGCAGGAGGTCTCTCGCTCTATGGACGTCACTTCTTTTCTGCCCTCCTCTTAGATCCTCTGTGGCCAAGTGCTGGCTCTCCCAGGGCAGCTGTGTGTGTTCTTTGAAGGGTCCTTTGGGGGGTCTTCTCACTGCTCACTAGGACAATTTGGGAGATCTGGCTCCAGGTTGGCCCTTTCTCCTATCCCCACCTCACCAATTCTGCTTGTTCTGGTTCCCTTGCCCAGAAACATGGGCACCTCCCTCAGTGAGGCCCTCAGGAGAGCGTCCGGGCATGCTCTCAGTGGGATGCAGCCGCAGCCCTCTCGCCACCACAGCATCCCTCTCTCTCCGTTCTCCTGTTTCCTGATGAGATCGGCTCAACACTGTTCCCTAGACTGAGCCCTCACAGCTCCTGCCTGCTCCCCTTCCGCCAACCAAACTCCAGCCTTCTTCTAGAAAAGGGGATGCTGAAGGCCTGCCCTGATGCATGATGGTGGCAGAACCAGTTCGGGTGTCTCTTAAGAAGCCCCAGAGGAAGGCATTTGACCTCCCTGCTCATGGTGTTCCTGGGAATCAGAGTCTTTGATGCTTCCTTGTCCTCATCTCTGGATCCCAGTCGCCAATCGTGGAGCAACTGGGAAAGGTCACATCCAACGTCAGAGCAGAGAAGTCTCTGACTTACAGGAATGAGGAAGGTCCAGAAAGTGACGAGAGAGATGGGGGTAGGGAGGGAAGTATCCTCTCGTCCCCGTGGCTGGACAGGGGCCACTGAAAAGCTTGTGAAAGATTCTTCCTTCTTTGCTGTGCCTACTTCTCCTCCTTGAACTCACCCCCCAAACACACACATACGTGGTCCCTCAGCAAAGCCGGATTCTAGCTCCAAGGGGTGAAATGAGGACAGCTCCCCCATCACCCCAGTCCCTAGACAAGCGTGTGGGCTGCCATCAGCTGCTTCCAGAACCAAGACCCCGACTCAGCCTCACCTTCCTCCCTCTCTGGTCCCTCAGCCTACATAACCAAGGGAAACACCCCTCTCACGAAGCTGCCCAACATCCTCCAGAGTGCAACGGTCGTCGCCACAGGCCCAGCGCCCACCTCAGGCCCTGCTGGCCCTTTCATCAGCCAGGCGACAGTGTTCACAGCTGGACTCCTCACCGTGGCCAGGCCATTGCCTTCCCCGACCTCAGGGAACACCAGACGGACCTCGGTGATGGGCTCCAGTTTCTCCAGCACCGGCCTGTCCACCATGGGGCCTGGGAAGGCCACTGGGTCCCAGACAGCGACTGCGTCTCCCAGCAACACCCGAGCCTCCGCTGTGGGCCCAGCCTCCGCCTCCACGAAGGCCGCGCACCTCTGCACTGCGGGAGCCCCCACCATGGGAATGTACCCCACCAGAAGAACGCTCCTCAACCACTTAATCCCCAGCAGGTACCTGGCGCGGGGAGCGGCGGGGTGGGTGGGGCTTATATGAATACTGTTTTCCCAGACATGGGAACAGTCCTCGGTGCCTGAGCAGAACGCACGGTGCAAACGTCACAGCAGAGCAGCCCCTGTCACACCCCCCACCCTACCCGGAATCCAGTCTGGCGTGTTGCTGAATGGGCGATGGGAAGCTGGGGTGGACAAGAGACAGAAAGGATGGCGGGAGGAAATGCGGGTGGGACTGGGTCAGCACAGAGTCTGAGGATGAGGAGCAGAGGGTCAGGGCTGCACAAGGGGAGCATCTCGGAGGGTAGCAAATGGGGATGCTTTAATTTGGGTTCCCCCAGGAGTGGACTCGGAGATCAGGATTCACGTTGTACTGGGAACACGGGACAGAGCCAGGGGAAGTGAGGCAGGGGAGGGAAGGCAGCAGATGGAGCACTTGCACAGGCTGGTCATCACCGTGGGCAGCAAGGGCTCAGCCCCATTGGGCAGAGTCCAGGGTCCAGTGCCAGGCAGCCGTGTGGAGGGCGAGGAGGCCGGGGCCTTTATATCCCGCTGTTGGCTGTCAATGGGGGGCTGCCTGCCGTGTGTGGCATGGAGGGCGCCAGTGACAAGAGAAAGCCGTCAGGTTTTTTTAACGGAGGTGCTGATGACCCATGTCGATGGAAGTGACATAGCAAAGGGGGATACAGGCAGAGTATCCACAGCCTGTGTTCTGGAGGACCAAGGTAGGAAGTGCCATCCTCGGTCATGCTGGGGAGAGTAAGAACCTTGGCCTCTTCTGTCACAAATGGGTGCCTCTTAGAGCCCCTGTCCTCAAAAGAGAGTATTCCCCCAAAGACTGGAGAGACTCATGCCTTTGCTGAGGGCTGGGGGCTTCATCCTCCTGACCTGTGAGCACCTCACTTCCTTCTCCCGCAGCTTGGTCCCCAAGGAAGAGAGGCCGTCACTCCCCGTGGGGACTGGCGGTCCCACTCCTCTCGCATGGGGTGTGGCAAGACGTGGGCTGGGAGGGGGTGCCTAGTACTCATCTCCTCCTGGCCCTGTCCCGTCTCCCCAGATACCTGGACTTTTACCCTGTGGTGCTCGTGGGGGTGCTGGCGCTGTTCCCCGTGCTTGTGATCATGGTCTATGGCTTCTGGAAGAAGAGACACGTGGGAAGTGAGTAGAACCCAACCCTCGCAGCCCCCCAAGGACAGAGCGCTGGGGAGTCTGACACACTTTCCAAAGTGCCCGACTGTCCCCGGTCTCCAGGCGGTCGGTCCTTGCCCACGTGCGGTCAGGAGGACCATTCAGCACCCAGAAGAGGGGGGAGGGTGGGCAGACAGTGACCGCTCGGTGGAACCTTCTGGGGCCCGGCCACTTGGAAGCGGAGGGCAGAGGCAGAGGGGCTGGCCCGGGAGCTTCGGGTGCTGAGCAGGACTGCCCTCTGCATCTCTCCCTGTCCTCGCAGGCTACAGCATGTGCCGTGACCCCGCCAGATCCTGCAAGGACTTGCCAGCAAGACCGGAACCTCCGTGGAGGCCCGCTTGGTCTGAAGCCACTTCACTGTGGGGTGGGGAGGAGTTTCTTCCAGAGGGGCCCCGGGAGACCCCCAGGAGACTCCTCAGAGGAGAAGCGAAGACGGGGCCCTGTCTGGGTTGGAGCCGGGCTGGGAGTGAGGACTGTGCCACCTGGACTCAGGCCTTCCTGGAACTGGAGGCTGTGCCGCACCTACTCGGCTCCCCTGGGCTGCTGGGATCCTGGCGGGGGTGGGAGTCTGAGCACGTAGTGCCAGGCAAGAGGTCTCTGCGGGTTTGGGGCACCACCGAGACGGTTCTCCTGAGAGCCACAGACCCCCAGGGCCCCAGCTGGGTGGCAGACAAGCCCCGAGGGTGCTGTTTGCAGACAGAGAACCTCTGATCTCACCAGCCTCGGAACCTCTTACTACAGAGCAGAGTGGGGAGGGGTGGACAGCTGGGGCCACCCTCTCCCGACCCGGGGCCCTGTCAGTGTCCCTCTGCTCCCCGCAAGCGTCCCTATGCTCTTGGGGGAAGAAAGAGTCCCAGAAGCAGCTCATGTCACAAGGGTCCCACCCTGGAGGAGAAACAGTGACTAAGAGGTGGGGGTCGGTAGAGGCCTTGGGGACCCCAGAGCTATCTAAGCTTCCCACCCCCTGGGCCGCGCATCCTCTACAGGGCCTCCACATGTGCCCTGAGCTGACCACAGCTGCTTGTCCCTCAGGTCCCGGTCACCAGCGGAGCCCACACCCCCACTGCGGCCTGCTGGCCGGGCCCTCCTGGGACAGCTGTGACCAGGCAGCTGACAGCGCTCGCCTGCAGGGCCAGCCTGTCCCTAGACCTGTATGCAGAGGCTGACTAAGGCTCTTCCCCTCAGTTCCCACACCCCACCTCTGGGTCTGTACTCCTGGAGGGGATGGGGGGGGGAGCCCTGGGGTCCACTGGAAGGGAAGTCATAGCTCAGAGAAAGGGGGGGATCACTTCCCTCCAGGGGACTCATTGTCCCCTGGGAAAAGAGGACGCAATGGTAACACAGCAAAAACAGCTCAGAGCTGCCCACAGCCTGGAGAAACTCCCCGGGGCGGGGAGGGGGGATGGAGCCAAGGAGCCTGGGTCAGGGCGCAGTGGCCAGAGGAGTCTCTCCTGCCCCGCCCCCGCCACTGCTCTCCAGCTCACGGCTCAGATTCGGCCTCTTTGGCAGCAAAGGCTGAAGAATAGGGGCTGGAATCCTCCCTTGGGGAGGGGTGTCCACCAGTCTGAGGCCACTGCAATGAGAGTCTGGGGATAGATGTGGCCTCTCTGCTCTCGGCCCTGGGTCGCTGCCCTCCTCGGTAGGACAGCAAACATCAAAGTCAGGAGAGTGACGCAGAGGGGCCTTGGTGGGCAGCCAGCCCAAGATCGCCACTACAGGGTGGAGACGGGGAGAGAGGAAGGGGCAGGAGACAGTCCCGGGGGGACAGCAGGGAGGCAGCCCCCTCCCCTGTGTCCAGGAGAAGACACTAGAGGGGAGACTCAGACCGAGGAACTGACAGGCCAGGTGCCAGGACACACACGCATGCACTGATAACCAGCCTCCTTATCAGGAGGGTGTGGCCAACACCCAGTGTATAACCAAGAGGGGGTTAATTTTCCGCCTGAAAAGCACACACCTCTTGCCCTGGCCCGGCTGAGAGCAAGATGTCCGGGAGAGTACTGCAGGGGCTCGGGACATGGACCCAGGGGTGCCACCTGTCACGTGGGGCCCTGTGCAAGTCACTAACCCTATCGGGCCTCGCGTTTCCTCTCTTGTGAAAGGGGACACTAATTCCTAGCTCTCAAGACTGTATTCAGGATAAAACAGAATAACACACGAACCTTACACAACTGACTAAAAGACTGATGCTTGGTCCTCCAGTTCTTTTCCAGGTCTGATTCTTGCCACATTCAACCTTTAAGACCGTTGGACCTTATGTCTGTGTTTTGTCCTCGACTGGAAGGGGGTAGGGAGGGAAGAGGGCCACATGGTCTGGCCCCAGGAGGTGGGGCTGGGTGCAGGCAGAGGCCTCTATGCCCTGATGTTATACAGGGGAGTTGTTAGGGGGACCGACCATCCCTGTTTGCCCAGGATGAGGGGCGCCTGGAACGAGGTGGACCTGCCCACCCCTGGAGCCAGCTCCCACGTGGACTCGAGCTAAGGACAGACACACAGCAGTGGGGAGGTGCAGACCATGTCCCCAGTTCCCCAGCCCTTCGGGGCCTGGGTGGCGTTTTTGGACCTCTAGGCCTCCAGGACATTTCCCCCCAAACCCTGGCCTACCACTTCCTGCTACCTGTTTGCCCTTCTCCCTGGAGCTCCAGGAAGACCCGGATCATCAGCAGATCCAGGGCGGGCCGGTGCAGGGCAGGGGAGATATCAGACAGGCCAGGGCCACTGCTGCCTTTGGTGGGCAAGATGAGGGACTTTCTGAGCAGTGGGCGAGACGACAGGATGCACCTGTGAAGGGTTTCCTGTCACGGTTAAGGGAAGGAGCAAATAAAGGAAGCCCAGCACCCACGGGATGTTCGCTCTGTGAGCCCTGGTCTGAGCCCAGGGGACACAAGCGTTCTTGCTGTGGGGCCAGCAGGCCAGCCTGAGGTTCACAGTCCCCCGTGGCTGCAAATGGGCTTCTCACTGCATCAGCCTGGACGGGTAGATGCTGTGCTGTGTGGCCGGGCTTCTTCTTCAGGCTACAGGGCTTCCTGCCCCGGGGCTGGAAGTAGTGAGGGCAGAAGGTGGCCTCGAGTCTGTCTGGGGCAGACCCCTCTCAGGGCAACCCGTTCCTCTCCATCCACTGACACAGGCAGTCTGAAGCCCTGGCACGCCCTGCCTTCTTGGCAATCCTGAAGGGTGGCCTGTCTCCAGAACTGCTCAAGTGGCCTAGGGCGGCTGACGTCTGCCCATTCTGTTTCCCACCTTTTTCTTCCCCAGCCTAGTCCCTAAGCTTATAAACCTCCCTGCCAATTGCTGTTCCCCATAAGCCTGATCTGCCCTGCGGCTTGTTTACAGACTTCTTTCTTTTCTTGGTTGTTTATTAACCATGAACAGCCTGTGACCATGATTTTTTTGTAGCTCATCTACTGACCATTATTTTTTTAATGTGTTTGATTAGTGTGGCCTTTCAACAACCACTATGGAGTGACAATGGCCAACTGGGGGGTTGGGGTTATAAGGAGGACCTGCGGGGCGGAGATCCTTTCCCCTTCTCTCTCCCTCCCCCTTCTTCTGCACCCACCTCCCTCTCCCCACCCGTCTCCTCTGATGTTCACACCCCAACTTTGCTCTCTCCCACCCTTGCCAGGGACCCTACCTGCACCTCCATTCTTGGAAATGACTCTCCATCTCCCCACCTCCCCTCCCTCAGTCCCCATGGAACGTCCCAACCCCCAAGCAAGCCTGGATGGGAAGTCTCTGACCTCTGGGGAGCTCAAAAGTGTTGCCCAACTCTCTCACTCACCTTTGGCTCCCTGCTTTTCTTCGGTGGACAGGAGAAAGCTGAGGCTTGGGAGGAAGAGGTTGGAGAGAAGGGAGAAAGAAGGAGGGAAAATATGTTCTTAATTTGTTAATGAGTCCAAGTTCGTACTGCTTACCCCATGATAGGCAAATAAATGGACAGGCAGTTGTTGGGACATGGAAGAGCAACTTCATTTGGAAAGCCAGCAGATGGAGAAGGGGCTCAAAGAAACATCTTACCCGAGTCTGAATTCAGGCTTGTTTTATACTAAAGGGGGAGATGATATTGCAGACTTCTTGGTGTCAGCTAGATCCTGGAGGAGGTGAAAATGCTTTTGTTTTTGTAGTTCAAGTAGGTCAAGCCACCAGTTCCTGTAAACTTCTAATAGGACAAATGTTATCCTCTGTTCTGCAACTTTTTATCTCTGCATGAATGGAAAAGCATTGTACCTTTAAAGCTCAGAGCCCAAAATAGGCTATTATGTATATTTCAGGCTATAAATAACATTCTCAACCAGAAGCAAAAGCAATCCCTGGTGGTCCAGTGGTTAAGAATCTACACTTTCATCATGGGAGAAGGAACTCAGATCCCGCATGATCTGAGTGGTGCAGGCAAAAAACAAAAAGAAGGTTAAAATAAAAGAAACCTGTCCCATATGGAAAGGGAGGGAGACAGGGTGATGGGGAAGAGGCTGGGCAGAGAGAGTCAAAGTTCCCCGGAGCCTCAATCCAGGCTCAGATGTAGCACCTGCAGCTGAGGATCCAGCCTATAGGCTGAGGCCTCCCCTTCCTCGCCAGGCCGCCACTTCCCAGGCCGGCTTTGGTGGCTGAGTGGAATCCCGCTGATCTCTGGCTCTCTCTTCCCAGGGGCTTGCCGCTGTCTCGCTTCCTTCCCGTCACCCTAAGTCAGGAAGAGGGCCCATGGCCTGGGAAGCCACATACTGGCTGCCGCCTGTCCTGCTGGTGCTCTGGGCTCAGGTGAGGGGCAAGGAGGGAGGGCAGGGGGAACAGGTCAGGGGGAGAGGGAGACGGACGTGGAGGAGGCTCTGAGGAGGAGCGGGCAGAGGACAGAGGCACCGTGGCAGGGGCCAGCTCTGGGGCTCGTTCTGTGTAAGCCCGAAGAGGGTGGCTCCTGCAGGGGGAGGCCCTCATCTCACAGCCCTGCATTGGTGGCTGGGGGCTTCCTGACCTGAGTGTTTATTCTCAGGCTGCCAGGAACAGAGGCCAGAGTTGCAGCATAAACTGCAGGATGAGAGTCTCTGTGAGACGCTGGTACCCACCCCAGCAAGGCTTAAAGCTGAAACTCATGCAGGGAAGCATCTGCATATTGTTGTGGTTGTTGTTCAGTTGCTCATTCGTGTCTGACTCTGTGATCCCTTGGACTTCAGCACACCAGGCTTCCCTGTCCTTCACCATCTCCCAGAGTTTGCTCAGACTCATGTCCTTGGAGCGGATGATGCCATCCAACCATCTCGTCCTCTATCACCCCCTTCTCCTTTTGCCTTCAATCTTTTGTAGCATCAGGGTCTTTTCTAATGAGTTGGCTGTTTGCATCAGGTGGCCAAAGTATTGGAGCTTCAGCTTCAACATTAGTCTTCCCAATGAATATTCAGGGTTAATTTCCTTTAGGATTGACTGGTTTGATCTCCTTGCTGTCCAAAGGACTCTCAAGAGTCTTCTCCAGCATCACATTTTGAAAGCATCAGTTCTTCAGTGCACAGCCTTTTTTATGGTCCAACTCTCACATCCATACATGACTACTGGAAAAACCATAGCTTTGACAAGATGGAACTTTGTAGGCAAAGTGATGTCTCTGCTTTTTATTTTATTTTTGATATCTCTGCTTTTTAATACGCTCTCTAGGTTGGTCATAGCTTTTCTTCTAAGAAGCAAGCGTAGTTTTAATTTCATGGCTATAGTCACTGTTGGCAGTGATTTTGGATCCCAAGAAAATAAAGTCTCTCACATTTCCATTGTTTCCCCACCTATTTGCCATGAAGTGATGGGATCAGATGCCATGATGTTCATTTTTTGAATGTTGAGTTTTAAGCCAGCTTTTTCACTCCTCTTTCACCTTCATCAAGAGACTTTTTAGTTCCTCTTTGCTTTCTGCCATGAGGGTGCTGTCATCTGCATATCTGAGGTTATTGATATTTCTCCTGGCAATCTTGATTCCAGCTTATGCTTCACCCAGTCTGGCATTTCACATGATGTACTCTGCACAGAAGTTAAATAAACCAGGGTGAAAATACACAGCCTTGACGTACTCCTTTCTCAATTTTGAACCAGTCCGTTGTTTCATGTTTGGTTATAACTGTTGCTTCTTGACCTGCAGATAGATTTCGTAGGAGGTAGATAAGGTGGTTTGGTATTT